CTCTACTACTCTCCCAGTGTTTCTAATTCAAGATGCTGCATCCTCACACAGTGTGATCGATCTAAGGAAACAATTTCAATCTTTTCAGTTCCTTCTTTTCTAAAAACAGTGTTTTGTTTATTGATTTATTTACTAAAGCAAGAGCAGCACCAAAGCACTCAAATCAAGGATGATGGTAGTGATAATACCGATTACCCTGAGTCTAAAAGACTTGTTGTCTAAGCTCGTGATAAGCATTGGGCATACACAGACAATATTGTATCCCAAAGAAGCAGTTTGCACACAGAGCAGTGGTTTCAGCTCATTACCAGCTGTTGTCCAGGGAAGTTAGGTGGAAAACACGCCAACAGCAAGGAGAAAACAAATCCTCCTTATTTGAATAGGTAGCACTAACCCAGGCACGCCTTCACTTCCATGTGGAATAAACAGCATGTATGCCCCATGCTGTGCCCCCAGTGTGCAAATTTCATTCTCTTTAATAAGGCTAAAGCACCAAAATCCTTACAATGGGATTGTGAGAACTGTTCATAATATTAGAAACAGCACAATAAAGTGACATCCAAATTCGACTGTGCTGCCAATGCACAGCTCTTTTATGCACAGCAGGTTATGTTGTGTCCTGAAACACACTCAGAAAGTGGGGAGAACATAGAATCATAGAACAGTGAGGGTTGGAAAGGACCTTAAGATCATCCAGTTCCAACCCTGAAGTTTTTAACAATTAATATTTCTGCAGCATGTCTACATGTGCAAAATGCTCCAAAAATGAGTATATAGCAACAAACAATCTCTAACCAGCAACCAGTTACCTACAGCCTTAGCCAAATTCAGTCCAGGCTGTCCTGCCCCTTCAGACCTGCTGTAACTTGTCCCACTGGGTCTTTGCTCCCTGGCAGCAATGGGATCATAGAATCATAGAATCATAGCATCAACTAGATTGGAAAAGACCTTTAAGAAGGGGAAACTCTAGGAAGTTGTCTCCCCTTCATCCCCCACATCATGCAAGGACATGGGAGACGGAGGAGGAGACACCTGTGTTGGTGGGACAAAGCAGGACACAGGAGCAGCTCAGACACACTCTGTTGCTTTCACAGCACCCATCCACTCAGTGATCCCATGCCCGGGACGTACCCTGCCTGCTCCTGCGCCTTGGCTTGATGGGCTGCTCTGCCCTGTCCTGGGATGAGTGCCAGCACGGGGTGGTGTGTAACAGGCTCTGGATGTTCTGAGCCAGAACCTGGAATGCTGTAAGCGCAGGTCAGACAGTCCCTATGCTCCAGCATAGTTATAAACAGAGAAGTCTGGGGTCTCTCCTTTGGGTTTTTCCAGTCCCTTATCAAAGGAACCTACTGCAGATTGAGCCATTACAGATTTGTACCATAACATTTGTCACAGCCTGGAGAGGATCACTCAAGTCCTGGACCCTGTCCCACTGCCTGTGACAGGCCACAGGAGCGGGCTGGCAGTGGTCAACGGAGATTCCTCCTCCGAGGTCATGCTGACGTGGTGGCACCAGGCTGGTGCTGGTGCTGCAAGAGTGAATCACCACCTCTGGTAGGAGTGTTGCTTCCCGGACAATGGCATGTGTGGGAATTGCGTGCAGCCACTCCTTACACTAGACAAACTTTGAGAGGAAAAGCAAACTGAGTTTATTTGACTAAACTGCTTAACAGTCAGCACCCATTTCTTGGAGGAAGAAAAGGGGAACGAGTTAATGTGCCAAATAGTTCTGAGACAAAGTGACTTTTACTGTTTTGACAGACCTGCATCGTTTCCTGGTTCCCTCCAGGCAGAAAGCTCCCCTGTCCAGCTAGCCCCAAAGACAGCTTACACAGTGGTCTGGAAGTGGGGTGCAACCTTTCAGATGAGCTTCATCCTTTGGCTTTGCTTCCTTTGAGATGAACATGAGCTTCCAGTGAAGTTCCCCTCCTTACCCCACTCTTTGTAGAGAGTTCTGCTTAGTGTAATTCTACCTTTACTGCTTTTGGAATCTCCACCCTCAGGCCTCAAGTTTTGATCCACCATTGCCAAGGAATAGCCCTGGCGTGGTTCTCCTGGTTGGGCAAACCCAATCAGGCACAGAACTGAGTCAGCTGCAAATAAATATTACAGCATAATGCAAATGCAAATGCCTCTCCTTTTGCCAGAAGTTAAGAAAAGTTCCATCACCTCCAAGGATATGACCTTGGAGTCATTAGGCTTCAGTAATACCTCACTTCAGAGCTATTCATTACACAAGCTGTGAGGACAATGAATGAAGCTCATTAGCAGTTTGATACAGGGAGACAAACAGCCATGGGGACAAAAGTGCATTTGAAGTAGCAGACTCCTAAACTCAGCACGCCAGGATGATGGGCAGGATACTCTGGCCGTGCTGGTGCTCTTGGTTGTTGCACCTTTGTTCCCTGCTGCTAAGCACAGCAAAGGAAAGGTTTCCTGAGTCTCTTGCTGACACTTCCTTGAAGCCTGTTCAGCCCCAGGTGAACAAAGCAACCTCTGCTCCCAGGCAGCCAGATGGCTAGCTGCAATCCACTCACTCTTTAATTAACTTTGGGTTGGTTTTTTTCTCCCTTCTGTAGGTTGTTTCTGGGAAAAAGGGAGCTGACAGCATGTGTGTTTACATGAGATTGGTTTGGCCTGGCAGTTCCCTGGGTCTGTACTAAGAAATTGGAAGTGTCTCTGGGTTTTGCTATCACTGGAAAAGAAGGAGAAGCTTAGAATCCAAGGGATTTCTAGGATGCTTCTGCAGAAGTTATGTAAGTGTGCAGGTTTACTGCGAGGCATTTGCAGATGGGCAGCACACGAGACAGAGCTGATGGGGGCAAACTAAGCTGAGGCCTTAGTTACTGTGCACCACTGAGCTGCTGCAGTGTATAATTAAGCACAACAACAACAAACACTGACCTGTAAACAGCTCCTCTAAACCCTGTGGAGTTGCTTGTGTGCATAGGGTTACACAACATACTTAAAAGAAGAAGAACTTCTTCCCTGTGAGGGTGCTGAGGCGCTGGCACAGGGTGCCCAGAGAAGCTGTGGCTGCCCCATCCCTGGCAGTGTTCAAGGCCAGGTTGGACGCAGGGGCTTGGAGCAACCTGCTCTAGGGGAAGGTGTCCCTGCCCATGGCAGGGGTTGGAACTGGGTGAGCTTTAAGGTCCCTTCAACCCAAACCAGTCTGGGAATCTGTGATTCTATGAAGAATTCTGGAAGCCATAAGGTGCTGAAGGCAAGGGGATGCGTGAGAGAAGAGGTGAAGGAAAGCAATTTTTAATCAGGGTGGCACTAAATGTAAAGGATGAAGCACATTGCCCACATCTGTCACTGACAGGACATCTCTTTAGATGAAGAACTTCTTAACAATTACTTTGAGGCCATGTTGCTTCTGACATCCAAGCATGTTGCAAAGAGAGGCACAACTGACGTGCTGTAATTTCACTGCAGAGATAAGACAAGGGCAGAGCTGCTGCGTAAGTGTGTCTGGGAAATCGCAGAGCTGCACCCTGCTATTTTGCATCAGAGATTGTCTCTTTAATTATTATTTGTTGAATCATCTCCCGGCTGAACAAGCAGAGTCCTCCCCCTGGTGGCAAGTAAAGAAGATGATTTTTACATGCCAAAATAGCAACGATTTTTTTACAGGCTATTAATGAACTGAGGAGCATCAGACAGGACCTGTTTTTATTAGGTCAACTGACACTGGGGGATAAAAAGACAAGTTTACAAAACACAAATCCTTTCCAGGGCTTACATAGCATTAATTTGAAGGCTGATACAACTTAAGAATAGTTTCTGAGCGCAATTTTGTTAATTTATTAGACAAATTGTAAGAGAAGCAAAGGATAAAACCTGTGCAGGGTAATTGTAATGTGCGATAATCCCATTATTTCCACCGAGCCTTTGTCTTTTAGTGCCCACTTGAGTTTTGGTGTCTACAATCCCTTAAAGGCAGGCTGGTGTGGAAAGTAGAATTCATAACACTACTGAAGAGTAAAAATGGACTCAGCAGACAAGTTGGGTTTATTGTATACAATTCCCCCAACTAATGTCTTCGGATAGCTCTGCAAAAATTATCTGTCCAAATGATCTCTCTGTGTTTGTTACGGAAGCTATAGCAAATGCTTTTTGGACTGGATTTTTTCCCCTGTAGATGACTAGTTTGGTGGATGAGGGGAGAGCAGGAGGTGTGGTTTATTTTGGCTGTACTAACGTTTTTGGCACTGTTTCCCAGAGCATCCTTACAGACAAACTGATGAAGTACAAGCTAAATAAATGGGCGGGGGGGGGGGGGGGGGCAACTGTCAGAACCACTGGGCTGAAAGGAGCTCATCACTCACAAGTGGGATGCCATGAGGCTGATACTTTAACATCTTCATTAACAACCTGCATGAACAGAGTCTCCTCTCAGCAAACTGGCAGATGATACAAAACTGGGGAGAGCAGTTGATAACTAGAGGGTTGTGCGGCCATTCAGAAGGACCTCAACAGGCTGCAGAAATGGCCAGAGAGGGTTGTCGGGAAGCTCAAGAAAGGGAAGTGCAAAGTCCTTCACCTGGGGAGGAATAACCTGTGCACCAGTACAGGCTGGGAGCTGACAGTCGGGAGAGCAGCCTTGGAGAGGAGGATGTGGGAGTCCAGATGGAGAACGAGTTGACTATGAGCCAGCAATGAGCCCTTGTGGCAAAGGCGGCCAACAGCATCCTGGGCTGCATCAGGAAAAGCGTTACCAGCAGGTCAAGAGGGGTGATTCCACTCCCCCTTCTATCTTTTCAGTTCCAGTAGATAACCACTAGGTATTACCCTGCCCTCAATGATACAGGAAGTATATAATGGCTGTATTGTAATTTCATGGAAAACCAACTGTTGCCTTTTAATTATGAAAAGGAGAAACATTCTCCAGCTGTGATATTCAACATTAATAACCACTGCAGCATAAACAGAAATATATTCCCCCTTCCTTAAGAATGGAAAGTGACACCCTTCACCACAAAACGCTGTCTGCAAGCTTATGTTTAAAAAGGTTTAATTTTTCACCCAGGTACAAAAATACAGTACAATGTGATGGCAAGGCATTCGCCAAAAAACATTCAAAGAATAAAAGGGGAACCCCCGTAAAGCTTTAACGTAACCCACCCTCACTTGATAAAACAATCTAAAGGTGAGTGCATAAGGAAGAAGTTAAGTTTCTGCCCAAAGGCAAATAAAGATGAATCACACACAGTTTTACACAAAAATATGTTTGCAGAGCTAATATTTTCACATGCTACTTGGACATTCATGAAATTTATTCTACTTGGCTTAGTGGCAGAATTAATGGTTTGGGATACCTGGAAAACACCTGACCCAGGAACATGCTCCATTCGTAGGAATCCCCAATAAGAACAATGGGATCATGTAATACCAGTGAGAAAAGAGGGATCCAACCCTGATTAAGTGTCAAAATGTTGGCTACTTCTAGTTACTCCAACCACGCTGTTTGTCTGCAAGTAATGTTTTGCCCTACACTCCTCCCTTTTAACACCAAATATCAATGGTTGCTCAAACCCACAAACTGATGTGTTTGCACATTACCTACTTGCAAATAACCACGATGGTACAAACTGCCAGGCAGAGGAGATAACACTGTAACTGATGCATGTGTGTGAACTCCAAACGGGGTTTAACCTAACATTGTCGACAGGAGAATTATGTCCTTCAGTGCATCTACATTCTTGGTCTGTTAAATCATTTCCTCTTAGAGTTTTGAAGTGATGGAAAAGCATCATTCAGTGCATTCACTATAGTTCATCTCCCAGGTGTTTTTGTTTGAAAGCATCACCTGTTAGCTTCTCCTGGGCCTCCTTCATCCCTTGGACAACTGAAAGATTAGAAGAAGAGGTATCAGCTATTAATCTCAAGATGAGAACGTCAAGGTGAACTGGTAAAGCGTTTTAAAACTACACAGTTACAGCATGTAGGTTTACAAATTAACCTGCACTCTTTTCCCAACTCTTTGTAGCTGAATTGTATGATTTTTCCATGCCACAACTGGAGACAAAGTTTAGGTCCTATAGACATTCTAGTAGGTATTAATGTGGATCGTGATTCTGAATATGGCTCTTCAAGGCATAAGAGAACCACTCACTCATGTTGTATCTAACAGCTTCCATTTTTGCTGTGAAGTAGCATAATTTTTCTCCACTCAAAAGGGAATGTGTGCCCTCCACCTGGAGTTTCATCTCACTAAAAATGCATGTCAAACATACCTTGATCAGCATTGGTATAGAAGTACTTATAGCTGGGGTTTCCCTTCTCATTTATGATTTCAGGGTGGACTTTTCCACTGGGGTCTATGAAACAGGAAGTCAAACAAGAAATTTAGGTGGTAACAAGAAGAGCACAGTCCTGTGAGTGGATATAACAGCTCTGGATGCCTTACCCATGAAGAGGATTCTGGGAATGTAACCTCCATCAGGACTAAAAGCTTCATCCTTTGGCTCTTCATCATCCTACCACAGCAAGACACAAGAGAGGGAACATATTAATAAGCTATCTAACAAAACACAACACTCATTTTAAAGAAACAAGCTACTGCCTTCAGATTCCACTCACCCTGAGCAATGTACGTCTGGAACAGACACTAAGTAACTCCACTCTCACAGGAAAGAAAATGATTTCTACCTAAACAAGTATCATTTGTGAAAATAGCGTTTTTTTCTGTTCTGTCAATTTGCATGAAACACTCCACTTTGGTGTCAGAATGTTTGATATGTCAGGAGAGAATAAATATAAATCCCTTTATTGAGGCAACAGAATGACACAAGGTACAAACTGTTAGAGACAATGGCAGAGAGCCAGGTTTAGAAACACAATTAAAATAACCAGACTGAAGAAAATCCTTCTTAAAACAATCAGCTCTATCAATCAATCCTGAACACCTATTCAGGAGTGCAGGATTTAGGATGTGCACAAAACAGGATGCAACCAGTTACATAGGATTCCAAATGCTTAATTACTAGGCAGTAACATGGATATAAATCAGAGTGGCCTACCTCAAGGTTGACCATAACAAAATTGTGGGCAAGTTCAGAGATCTCCTTAGATTCAGCAAACTTTGGCTTTAGAGCTATTGAAGAAAGAAAAAGAAGAGGTGTGTAAAGGCAGCGGAAAATATTCCAGGTTTTCAGGTCAGCATCAAAATCTCCATTCCTCCCTCTGGAGAGCTGGTGTTTTCCAATAAACAGTGAATAAATGGAATGTATGTATCCATGGAGTAAGTACACTACAGCAGGCAACTGAAGCACTCCTTGCTGGGCAGCATATGATGAAGTCTGTCCAACAGACATATGAGGTCATATTGGAACCAGTGGAACAGAAGCAAAAAGCTTCCAGTAAACCACTGTTCTCACTCAACCTGCTCAGCCTTTAAGCTTAGCCATTATGCCCAGCTCGCTTGTCTGTGACCCTGAGAGACACAAAGCCTCTCCTTTGAAGGACCACCAGCTGAAAGTGAGGCAATTTACACTGAATTCTTGCAGGTCATTCATTCTGTTCCATTTTTTACAGCCAAGTGCAGTACTACAGATGTTATTTGGCTGGCATTTAAGCATGGCTGGCTTTTGGCAGTGCTAACAGGGAAAGCAGCGCGATATTATACTGCTCTAACTGAAATACAAATACCATTAGCTACATTTTGAATGCAAAGTTCATGTTTCTCGTGGTTACACGCTTGGTATACAAAAGCTCACTGCAAATTTCAGCAAGTGCTAGCATTAAAGACACTTACCTTTGCAAGCTCCACACCATGACTTGTGGATGATAACCATAAGGGGCAAACCACTGAAAAATAAGCAAGGAAGCAAGAAAATTGTCAAAGAAAGCTTATAGTTGAGAATCTAAACCAAATTCATGAACGATTTAATAGTTGAGACATCTACAAGGCTAAACGTAACCAAAAATGAGAGATGTAAAGAGCGTGTTCTAAGGTTGTCTTGCCAAAACGTTTTCCTAATCTTAAAAGGTGTATAATACTAATGTATTATAACTGGCAGCCAATAACTGCTTGCGGACAGGAAGAGGCTTTCTCTTTTGAAAACTTGCTCCTGTTAGGTTAGATGTGCTCTGATACACAACTGGTCACGTTTTTGCTGGAAGCAGTTAGGGACACCAGCTGCTTGAGAGCTCTCCGGATGGATTTTCATATATCCATCCCTCTCCCCATCATGGTCTGTATCTTTCAGTCACCTCCTGTGACTGAGACCCTCCACTGAGCAGTGATCAAACACAGTAACCCAGCAAACCCCCTGTCTGCCAGGCTATGTGTTGGTACACTGAAACAGATCTGTGACAAGTGCCAGGACTTTGAAGGAATGGGGTGGTGGCTGTGTAGAACTGCAGCCTAAATAAAGCACAATGCAGAAGGACCAAAGTTATTCTTTATTATTCTTCTCCCTTCCCAAAGAATTCATTTGACCCCTACTACATATACTACCCAGAGGTTAAGTTTCCATCGCCCTGAGATAGGTTTTATTTAACCTTAGTCTTCAAAAATCCCTTTAGTATTTCATCTTCCCATAAAGTCAAGCTTAGTGAGTTCAATTTAAGTTCTTTTATAGTATGTACAGGCAGTATTATGAGACTAGATAGCGAGGCCTTAAAGACATTAGAAATTTCACCTATTTCCTGTTGTTAGTGCTGGTGAGCCAGTGAATCCACCAGTTCACTGCTTCTGACTATTCTGCATCAATTTTACCTAACAAGAAAACAGATACAACTGCTATTGCAGTAGTTACTAATGAGCACATCCAGGTAGTACAACACTTACCTCCACACTTTCTATGCATGGAAGTCCTTACTAACACTTTCATTGCTTCTACCATCCAACAGTTGAACTGGTGAATGCTGACTAGCGTCATAAAGGAGACTAAGAACAAGGAATTGGGAATCTCCTCCCTTTTCTCTTACCAGTAATTTCCTTAAGCTATGGCAAAATAGCCAAAGGAAGCTGGTAACAATGATATAGCTGCCAGAACGGTAAGAGCAGCCTAAAACTAGGTGAAGGAAAGGAAGGAATCTAGAGAGAACATACTGCATGGATACTTCTTTCAGGATATGCCAAGCAAAGCAAACTGTAACCTTTCTGCTATGTAAGCTCTGTTACCATATGAGGGGTTGAAAATAAAGTAAAACTTTCACACACACAAATTAAAAATGCCACTGCACATAATGGCAACTATAATTACTAGCAGAATGTATGACTTTTTCTTCAGCTGTGGATAGATGTGAAAGGAAATCTCTGCTCAGCAGCAGTTATAGCCTTCAGAAGAAGGAAAGGGTGGAGGGGAAGCCATTAACATTTAGAGGAGCTTGAGTAGAAGGCATTTATAATTAATCAGTACGTTATCATCTTTACATAGGACTCTGTTTGCAGTAAGGAGCAAGAATACACATTTGCCTAGTAAAGCTTGTATTGCATCAGCATCCTCTCCCTGATGATGAAAAAACCCACTTTTTTTTCATTGTTTCCACACGATACAACATGATTTTGCCTCTTTCCTGAGAAGGGGCTGATTTAAATCTGGAAAACACACATTGTTCCTATCAAGGATAAGTGCTTCATGTCAGGAGAGTTCAATCATCTGGTAATCACTGCTGCAACACACTTTATACAGTTAAGAGAAGTTTTCAAAGCAGATTTTAGATGGAAGTGCTCAATCCTGAAACACTGACTCTTAATCAGTGAGAACTCACAGAAGGTTGATATATTGCATGTGTTTTCTCAGCTTTATTCACCTTAATTTGACTGGTAAAATAAACTTATTTACATCAAAGCGTTTTTGTAGCGATTTCTCAGTTGTGCAATGCCTAAGTCCACTTATGTCAGAAAAAGAGCCACTGTAAGTGAAGTCACTCTTCCTGCCCCACTTTACCATTTCCTCCCAGGTAGCACTACACAGGCCATGAAAACCAAAAGCCACAATTTATTAAAATGGGGAAGCATCCACCAGAGAGTGACAAGTTTATATAAGCTCTATACGTGGTACAGCAAAGACTGGAATTACTTGAAACTAAGAGCAAAACTAAGTCACCTATCACAGCTGGTACAGACTTATGGGGGAGTTTCACCCAGAACAGTCATTCTAGCACATTTTTCCCATGAGAGCACTCATTCTTAATAATTAGCATTTTAAAGCTGTTTAATGATGACCTCGCAAAGACATAGCAAGTTATTTCAATGAAATAGTCCCACAGGCAAATTAAGACTTTACTCCATTTAAGGCACACATTTTATTGTTAAACCTGAAACAGAGAGGTCTGAGTTTACTAAGACAGCACCATCCTGTAGTGCAGCGTTTGCAAGTCTATCTCTTGGCTTCAGTGGGATTTCTTGATACAGTCACATCCTATAAAATACAGTCTGTCCCAGTCCTAGACCTGAAGTCTCTTCTGCAGTTTGAGATCATCTGGAGACACCCTTGGGAAAACGATCTTCTTATTCAAGACATACATATGTCAATAAGGAGTGGAATAGTCTTCCCTATGGTCACCACCTTCTGGGCTTCCACGTTCATATGCTATTTGACCACTGGGGTGTACATCTCCATAGGAGACTTCACTTGCCTGGGGATGAAACAGTAGCTCTCCTTTTTGAAAGATGCAAGTGGGGCGGATACAAAAGGATGGGGGACCTAAATTCCTAAAGGGATTCTCTTAGCAGTATATCTTGCTGCAGGGACCCGGCATCATCCATCTCCCCAGAGCTGCTGACGGGGCTCAGGCTCTGTGGGGCCTGTGGCTGGAAGCCTGTGTGGCTGGACCACGGCCACTGCTGTGCGCAGCACAGGCGACAGGCTCACTGGATGCTGCGGCTCAGGTACTGCAGGAACATGCCGGCCAACTGGGGCAAGTTTTCATCCCTGGGCTGCATCTTGGTGTAGCTGATGAACTGCCTCCGCAGCCGGCTCAGCTCGGCCATGCTCACGGGCCGGCTCAGCACCAGCCCTTCAGCGACACCGGGCACCCGGACCAGCTCCCCGGGCTGCGCCCCGCTCCTCTGGGCGTCCATGACGGCGGCCAGCACCTCCTGGGTGACACGGTCGAGCTGGTGGA